AGACTCAGACTTAGACGGTACTTTACTTCTTTCCTTTGCCAGCTCACTCTGACATAAAAAGCTCAGACAGCCTCGACTCGTTTCTGGATCAGCTGACATTTGTTGTGATTTTTGGAATAAATCTTGATTTAATTTTATTTCAACATCGGGAGAATAAACTCTGTTTAGTCTTCATTTAATCCGATGAGCAACGCCCATTTTTATTAGAAATAAAAGAAACATAGAGAAACAGAAACAAATGAATTAAACTGAATAAGTGGTCAGCTTCTGCCTGTGTGGAGCTCTGCTGCCCCCTGGAGGACAGAAGAGGAAACTGCAGCCAGACAAAGCTTAGGGTCTCAGATCAATTCACCCACAAGAAATATTCAGCAATCAGCAGAAAAGCGTTCATCAGAAGCGGTTAGATCAGATCAATTAGGTCAGAGGAAACGAGGATCAAAGCTGAATCCCAAATCTTTTTTTTATCTTTAGCATCAGCATGAACATGATTAGCATTAGCATCTTTCACTTTAGCCAATTAACATCAGAATCTTTAACATTAGCACTGTTAGGGCAACTATCCTTAGCATTAGCATAGTTTGGGTTAACATCTTTAACATTAGCATTGTTTGGGTTAGCATTAGCATCCTCAGCAATTACTAGAAGTACTCAAAATAAATCTGAATATCTGAAATTTCAAACTTGAATTTTTGCTCTTTTCCTCCAGAACCAGCTCTGATTTTTTACAACATGAGCTGAGCAGATATTACAGACAGAAGTGGAAACGTGTGTTCAGGAGCTGGAAACAGGTTGATTTCAGACCAAAATCAGACAATAAAAGGCTTTAAAACACATCAAAGTCTCTCTTTTATCAGTTTTATGAATAGTACCTTCACATATATGAATAAATCTCGCACTAAAACTGGGACAACTTGTTATTTTTCCCATAGAAGCTCAAACAATCCCATGACTGAATGTGGTGGGGGGTAGAAAGTCCTTCACTTCCCCTGGTGGGAGCTGGGCTGGTCCTCCTGGCTGAAGACTTTCCCCTCAGGATGCTCCCTCCAGCTCAGGAGCTTGTTGTGGCCCAGGCGCCCCCCCACTTTCTCCTGGAGCTGAAACAGAGATCTGTCTGTTTCAGATTCTCCCGGAGCTGAAACAGAGAGATATCTCTGTTTCAGATTCTCCCGGAGCTGAAACAGAGAGATCCGTCTGTGTTTCAGATTCTCCTGGAGC